ATAGTTCGATCTTACATATTTTAAAATCTAAAACGAATTTTAAAATTGAACTTTTTTAAATATAAGAGAATAACAAAAAAATCAATAATCATCCATAAAAAAAAAAGAAATTTTTAACAAAAAATTATAATATTAAAATTAAACTCTAGTCTTTACAATATTAAATTTAAACAATAATTAATAAATTAAAATTAGTATTAACACAATTAATTCATTAAATTTTATAAATAAAAAAAATATTTTAGAATCTAAAATTAAGATTTCGACTGCCTTATACTTAGGCTGATCTTGAATGTTGACCATAAAAAAAATTTGATTTCCTACATATCAAACAAAATATCAAGTTAATTAGTGTTGAGATGAATATTATTGATAAAATCTTATCTGATAAAAAAAATTATCTGAATAAACACTATAAATTTATACTAAAATACACTATATTATATTAATATTCGATTTATTGACAGCATATCTCATTATTTTTATTAATTCAATATTCTTTTAATTAACATGCATGATGTATCTTCATAATATGAGCTTAACAAAATTGTACTAATATTTTCTTACGTACAATAATATTAATGAAATTTGAACTTATGTTCATATAAGTTATCTAATTATTTACTCTAATAGTTTAATTACGCTGAGGAGAAAACCGATAACATGAACTTTCCCTTAATTGAAGCGATTCCATTAACTTGAACCTGTTTAGCCTCACTTTAATAACCATAACATAATCATTTATATACATACATTTTCTTTTTTCCTTTGCTCGTGCAACAATCCAAAGCAACCCCTCTGGCTCATATTATATTCATCATAATTCATAACACGTCCAAGTGAATACCAACATGCTTTTTCTCGGGAGTAGCAACAGAAAACAACAATACTAATCATATTATTATATAATGCAATCAGAAATTAGTTAAGAACTTGCTTCATTTTAAAAGATAATATGTCCCATCAGCATTGTACATAACATGATTGAGATTTGAGATATACATCCCACCAACCATTAAAATGACCCAAACAATGGTGTGAACGCTCGAGAGTATACATGAAGGAAATTTAACATAGATGCATGTATTTTGGGTACTATATTATGTTTGTTAATGGTTATATAAGCTGAATAAGTATAATGGTGATAATAATATATCACTTAATCATTTATACACTATTAATATAAAAAATTTTACACCGATAACTATTCATATATTTTAAATTATTTTATTTTATTGTTATTTAATTAAATATGAAAATAACATGATACTATTAAAATATACGATTGATTTATACTAGCAGTATATGAGTGATTATTTCATAATATATTAATTTATCTCTTTATTTCATATGAAGAAAAGGTCATTTTTGGGTGTAGCCCTGAGGGTAAATTTGGAAATGACATAACTTGCCCATGCCCTGCTAAATATAAGGTTAGAAAGATGAAAAGGAAACAATGGTGCTTGAATAGTGTTTCTCAATTATAAAGAGAATAAGAACAATTTATGGGTCGTATATGACCGTTGACTAATTCCTCATCCACGGTCCTTCATTCTTTCCATAAATAATAATAATAGACTCTTTTACAAACCAATTCAACCATACAATAGTGTCCACTTTGAGTAACACTTTCTGAGTCAAAAACAATGTGATCATGCATGCTTAGAGAAATTGTTTCAAAATATTATTCTATTATCTTGATTGTATTTAAGATTACACCAAATTTTGACTGGGTATACCCTATGTGAGAGCACTAATCTATTAGTGCACAATTTGTTGCATGTCTTGAAAATAATGAATTATTGCCATTAAATAATTCCTAGTTTCCCGAAAATGCATCAAATTTAAATTTGAACTGATTTTGACGCCGATGACTGTGACCAAAAGGAGTCGTTGATGTAAGAGGATGTAACTATCGCAGTTAAAATCAATTAGATTTTTTTTACCATAATTATTCTTTAATTAGTTATCACGCTAGATGGCATGATTATAAATATTATTTATTGTGCAGACTAAGTTAAATAATTTTTTATTTTGCCTTTATTATCGCCCCACGTATTCTTTAAAATCATATTAATAGGTTTTCAATATTTCATGAGTGTTTTAATTTAAGTATCTTAAAAAATACATGAAATATAATAAAATTCTTTTATTTTAAATAATATTGAAATGACATATTTGATATAACAGAGAATATTTTTATGGTCAATAATATAGATTTTATTTTATTGGATAAGAACACATTAAAATGGCATTTTTTATAAAGAAAAATTAAAATGGACTTTTTAAATAAAATATATTATTTCTATATCTATTAACTTTATGTGATGTATTGAAATTTAAAACTTAAACTTAAATTGAGATTATTTAAATATAAGGAATAATATTTAACATAAAAATATAAAATGTGAAATAAAGTCATGTAATTTATTAATATAAGAAAAAAGTTAAACTTTTTTTTTTAACATGAGTCACACTGAGGTTAAAATTGAGCATCTCGTATATATTATTCAAACTTTTCATTATTAGATTAACTCTAATAGCTTATTTTAAGTCGGTTTAGAAGTATTTCGATAATGTTAATTAAGTTTGAATTTTCTTAGATAATATATATGCATATTATTTATCATTGTTATTCTGAATTTCTATCCTCCACCATAATTTTTTTGGGCGTAAAAAGGAAAAGAAAAATATTAAAATTCTTATAACTTAAGAATGATTATTTAAATTAATATTATAAATGTGAATAATAATATCTTAGCTCCCAATCCGCAAAAATTAGTAGGGTATTTACATTTTAAGAATAAATTCTACAAAAAAATTGCTAATTGTGATTAAATGCATTTTTACGTAGATTTATTAATCATTTGAACACACATCCCCTATATTCATAATTCATCTCTTAATTGCTCAATTAAAAATATAAAATATACCACGATCAAAAAGTATAGTTTATCTGTATTAATTTTGATCAATTATGTATATGTAAAGTTTTTTACACTCCGTCAATCATGTATTAGTAATTTGTTAACATTATTTGATCTTAAAGAAAACACTAAAAACATATAAAATTTATAGGAGTCATGTTAAAAGGAAAATGTACTCATTTTTTTTTTGTAAACAAAAAAATGTTCTCATATTTTAGTAAAAGTTTTATAAAATGTATTTAATGATAATATATATTGACAAAAAAAAAAATTTGTCTTAAACTACTAATCGCATTTCATCAACCGCACGTTTGGTCACACATTTAATAGCATCATAATTAAGGCAGAACTTACAAATAATAGTTTTTTTTTCTTCTTTCTAACGTTACAAATGGAAACAATACCAGAAATGTTATATAAGCTCATATAAAAAAAAAGTAAATATATATATATATATATATATATATATATATATATTTTTTGACATATAACTATTCATAATTATAATATTAATTTTGAATAAGATTCAATAACATATATAATGTATTATTATAGTTTATATTTATATTTTTTAACAATATATATCGTGCTAAAAGTATAGGTTAAAGAAATTTTAGAGACAAATATTATGTTATTATAAAATGTGTGTTATTATATGATAAGTTTTTTTTTGTAATGAAAGGATGTGTTTGAATTATGTATATTTTTAATATTTTTTTTTGCAATAAATTTAAAGTAAAATGCAAAAGCTACTTAATAGCTTTATATATATAAATTTGATTTATTTTTGTAAAATTTTGAGTTAAAGTCTTATAGGTAAAAAATGTAATTGAAAAATAATATTTTCCCTAAAAATAATTAGTCATCTTCTTTAATAAAATTAATTATTAACAAAATTGATAATTTTAAATTAATAACAATTATTAAAAAAAATATTTTGTGATACAATTAAGATTCTTTTTTTATTTTGATCCTCACTAGGTTGGAGGCACCTCAAAGGATGAGATAGCTGGTCCCAAGATTTAACAGGATTCGAAGCCCTGACCTTGTTTAAGCGTGGATCAACTCTTATCGCTGAACAACACACTTGAGGTTTGCGAGTTAAGATATTAGCAATTGTATATCCAAATATGATAAAAGGAGATTTTTTTTAATAAAAAAGTATAACTATTTTCCATCATGTAGATTTTTATAGGAATAAAGTAATATATCTTGTCTCTATTTTATATCTAAGTTAAGAATAAATTTCAAATTTTAATTAAAGAATATAAATGGTAAAATTTTGACCATATTAGGTAAATATTTTACATGCATAACAAAATACACACATATTTTATAATTTTTTTAGCGAAGTAAAGACGAGATTTTTATTATTTCACAAAAAAAAGAATTTTTATTATAAAAAAGGGGGAGATTTTCTAGAACCAAAATGAGATTTTCTCTCCTACATGGCAAATCATATCAGAAGAAAAGTAAACACAATGAACTGCTGAGTTTTTTCTCGTCACATGTAAACTGTGTTAACCATCGGTCAATATATTTAACTTGTTTTAATAACATAAGAAAAACATTACAAGTCTAAGAAAAAAAACTAAAAACGTAAACTGGATTCTATTGAAATTCAAATGCGTCACAAAAACAAGAGCTAATTGCGCATTAAATATTTTATTAATTATTAGTAGCATTAATAAAAAAAAAATTGATGAGTATTAACTACATGGTCAGAGAGTTTGAGAAGGCACACGTATTGTCCAATTTTTGAATCCCTTTTTTATTTATCGAAATTACATTAGCAGAAGAACAAGACAGGGCGAAGGGTAACATAGAGAGAGAGAGAAAAAGATGTTATTTTATTGTTGCGTTGCGCCCTCTTAACACAAGCCTGCGCAGTGTTTTCCCAATCTCGTTTCTTGGGCCATAATAACATAACACCAGTATCGATGAAATTATATTTTTTCCGGTTTTACCCTCCTCGTTTTTTTTTTCTTTTTCAATTTTTAATTTTCACTTTTTATTTTATTTTATTTTTATTTTCACTTTATCATATTATTCACGCACATATATATTCCACTTCTTATTTTGGGTTCTGCTCATTCTGCTCGCTTCCTCCTCTCCTCGCAACGCAACACTTTGATGCTATGCTGCTTCAATCTCCACCCCCTTAACAAAGATACAATCTTTTCATAATCATCGTCACAACCCATGTAAGCATATTTTTCATTTTCCCTTCCTTTTTTATTTTTTTTTTCAAAGAATTTTCTCAGCCCAACACTTCCTCTGTCAAATTTCCCTCTCTTTTAATTCATTTCTCTTCATGGATTTTTATGTGCTTCCCACATACCCCTTTTTTTTATTTATCTGTCAGTTTATTTTGATTTTTTTTTAAAAAAATTAATTCTCATTTTGGGATTTCTCTAAAGCGGTTTACGCTTTACATTCCCAATTGTTGGATGTAACAAGACCAGGTTAAATGGGGGTGGATTGGGATCTATGTTGGATCTCTCGGTATCTGTTTTTTTTTCTTATTAAATTGTTATTATGTGGTTTAGTGAAATGTTTATACCGGCTAATATTGGTTTCTGTGCTGCTTTTTTTTTAATGTGTAGTTCATGATCTGGGGGGCTTCGTCTGGGGAGAGAGAAAAAATTGAATTTTGATACATTCCCAGGGTTTAAAATGTTGCTTCTTTGAAGGGGGTTTCATGGGTTGAACTCGGAGAATCATGGGTAGCTTCAGCGAGGACGAGGAATGTCGGTTTTTCGATGCACAAGAGGATGTTGTTGTGTCCATTGCGGACGAAGGGGTGTCCAAGGGTTTTGATTATGAATTGTGGGTTCGGAGTCCAATGAGTGTGAGAGAGCGCAGGAACACGTTTAGGAAGAGGATGGGACTGGGTGTGGACTTGGTTGCCCTTGCAAATGAAAATTGTAGTGTTGAGTGTGAAGAGGTGATGGATAGAGTCAAAGTTGTAGAGGAGGAATTCTGTTCAACCCGGTCATCAATGTATAGTTGTCACAGTGAGAGATTTTCAGAGGGGTTTGGTTTAGTGGATAACTCGCCTTGTCAAGATGGGAATTTGGAGGGTAATGTGGATCAGGAGGGGCTGCAGTGTAGGGAGATGAGTGATGGAAGAGATCTAGACTCAGATCGCTTGGTGGATGAGCAGAAATCTAAGGATTTGGAGAATGTATTTAGGCAAACGGATGCTAATGCTCCTTCCCGGAGGACGAGTAGGGATTTAAAGGGCTGGTTGAGGAGATTGCGGTCGATAACATGCATGGTTGATAGGGAAGAGGGAGGTGATAATGAGGGAGAAGGTCTTGGTGAAATGTCAGGGTGTAGGCTTCGGAAAGTTAAGGTTCGCCAGTCCAAGAAGCACATGAAGGAACTTTCAGCTCTTTACATGAGGCAAGATATCCAAGCGCATGAAGGTTCAATTTTGACCATGAAATTTAGTCCTGACGGGCAGTATCTTGCTAGTGGTGGTGAGGATGGGGTTGTGCGCTTGTGGCAAGTGGTTGAGGAGGATAGATGTAATGAAGTTGACATTCCAGAAATTGATCCATCTTGCATTTACTTTACTGTGAATAACCTCTCTGAATTGACACCGCTGTTTATGGATAAAGAAAAATTAAGCAAACTGAAGAGCCTGAAAAAAACATCAGATTCGGCTTGCATTGTTTTTCCTCCCAAGATCTTCCGGTTGGTGGAGAAACCATTGCAAGAATTTCGTGGGCATAGGGGAGAGGTTTTGGATCTCTCTTGGTCAAATAATAATGTGAGTCAATGTCATAAATTGAGTTATTGAATAATATACGGATACAGTTAGGTATAGATGAATTTTTAGAGAAATTGATTTGGTTTTTCATCTTTGATGCAGTATCTTCTGTCATCTTCAGTTGACAAAACTGTCCGTCTGTGGCACGTGAATCATGACCATTGCTTGAAAGTCTTCTCACACAGTAATTATGGTGCGTTCTGCTGCATTGCTCTTTTTTTTTTTTTTTTTTTTTTTTTTTTTTTTTTCTTTTTTTTTTTTTTTTTTTCTTTTTTTTTTTTTTTTTTTCTTTTTTTTTTTTTTTTTTTCTTTTTTTTTTTTTTTTTTTCTTTTTTTTTTTTTTTTTTTCTTTTTTTTTTTTTTTTTTTTTTTTTTTTTTTTTTCTGGCTTCTTGAGCTGTTATCCTAATTTGTTTTATCATCATAAATTGCCTCACAATTTGTTTGTATTTTGATATTGTATTGTAGTGACATGCATACAATTCAATCCCGTGGATGATGATTATTTCATTAGTGGATCTATAGATGGAAAAGTGCGCATCTGGTCAATTCCCGATTGTCATGTTGTTGATTGGATAGATATCAAAGATATAGTGACTGCAGTATGCTATCGGCCTGATGGGGAGGTAACAATTTTTTTAAACCAATTTCAATTCTATAGAAACATAGCCTATATAGGAAATGATTTCAGATGAATGATGTTCTTTATACAGGGAGGGATTATTGGCTCCTTGGCAGGCAATTGTCGGTTTTATAATGTATCAGGTATCATCTTTTTTTACTTTCATCTTGATATATTTTATCTTCCTTTGTTTAAATCAGTTAGGTGTCATTTGGTAGATGTCCTAGTGTTTGACAGGATTTTAGGTTTATGTTATTAAAATTAAACTACTGATTTTGACAAGGAAGTAACAAGATTCTGCATGCCTTGAATGTCAATCAAGTTATCATTGGGGATGTTGTGACTGTCATTAGCCATATTATAATCACACGAGACTTGAGTGTGACCCTTAACTATGCTGATTTATTTTTTTTGCTTGAACCAGAGAATCGCTTGCAAGTAGATTCCCAACTATGCTTAATTGGTAAGAAGAAAGTTCCTGGCAGAGGGATTACTGGGTTTCAGGTATTTTCTTTTTGTCTTTTGCTTGTGCTAAGTGAGTTGTATTTTACTTTCATGAATTTTGTGTCTTTCCATATAAGATTAGTTTTTTTGGGATAAACTGATGATCTGTTACTTATTTCAGTTTCATCCACAAGATTCTAAGAAAGTTATGGTCTCCTGTGCTGATTCACAAGTCAGAATCCTTGATGGGCCTATTGTAATTGGCAAGTACAAAAGTATGTTCTTTTGTCTAACTCCTACATTTATTGATGTATATTTTTTTCATTCCCCAGCAGATTTGTACAAGTGTGATTATTTTAGTTCCTAAGAGCTCAATTCTTGTTATTAATTTGAATTTTATTTCATTTTAGTTTCTATTACTAAGGTTCTTTGTATTTTTGTTTTAGGCCTTGGCACTGGGAGCCCAATGTGTGCATCATTTACTTCTGATGGGAAACATATTATATCAGCATGTGAGGATTCTAACGTATACCTATGGAATGTCAGTCAAGAGGAGTCCAATCCCATAAAAACTAAGAAGATTATGTCTTGTGAGCGGTTTTTCTCAAATGCATCTGTTGCAGTACCTTGGCAAGGCTTGAAATCTCAAAATATTGAAAACGAACGTCAATTGGATGTCTTGAATAAAGGCTCATCACAAGTTATGCATATCAATCCACCTGCTTCATTCTCTCTGAGCCAAGAATTTTTCTTGGAGTCTTTTCCCAAAGGATCTGCAACTTGGCCTGAGGAGAACCTTCCTGTTTCAAGCTCCAAGCCTAAAACATCAATGATTCAAAAATCCGATTACAAATTCTTGAAATCTTCTTGCAAGAGTACCGCCACTGGTCACGCGTGGGGTATGGTCATTGTCACTGCTGGTTGGGATGGTAGAATAAAATCATTCCATAATTATGGGTTACCTATACCCACTTGAAATGAAGTGACTTTTCCTAGGTTGGAGAGTTGAGTCAAGATTCATTACTTTTCTTGGACATATTGTCCTTGGAAAATTTTATGCTGCCAATAGTCACGGTGATTCAAGAGTGATGTTGAATTTGGCAGCATCGGTAACAAGGCAGGTTGAGGTAAAAACCTCGAGCAGGATTTGCAGTTTCGATGAGTTGTGAACCGGTGAATTTTGGAGGGGTCCCCTCTCAGATTTCAGGGGATTTATATTACTCATTGGTTCATGACAAGTGGTGGCACTGTTGTGGTTCCAATGTAACCCTGCTGGAAATTAGCAAGTGGCCAAGTTTTAGCTTGTCTTTGCACCCAGTCGAAATTGCCTTTTGCTACACAAGAATCTGCTGGCCCCTAAAAGAGATGCAAAGTCATGTGTTAGAACTTGGGAGGGGTCCTATGAGATATTATTTTGATATGTTGTGGGGCTATTATTTTGCCAAGATGAGAGGAGGAGATTCAAGAGCTAGTGGCTCAAGTTCTCACTATGATCAAAATGCTGGGCGTGTTGATGTTCTTATTATTGGCAGGACTAACTAAATGAATCTCTTTGTCTGCCAATCTTCCCGTCCATCTCATGGTAGGGCCTCTTGTGCCTGCTGTTAATACTTGCAAGTGTGGTGAGGATGTGTGTGCCGGTCATTTCTGCTTCAGTAGCTGCTTTTAGCTGCAATCATACAAACAGTACCAACAACCATGTTTAGTGGTTTCAAGTCTACTTGATTGTCAGAGTCTTTGGCAACTGATGCAGTGCTGACAACTATTATTACTAACAGACATTCTGAATATGGTCTCAATTTTAGGCTAACATCACTTATTTTATATTTTTTTTTAGTTACAAGTATCTTATCCTTTGAAATTTGACGCAATACTACCTCCATTGTTGTTGGCAGATATGTAAATTTGTAACTTGTGTAAGTAAAATTTTGTTGTGGTCGGTGGAAATACAGTTAAACAGGAGTTCTTTGTATGATGGCTCTTTGATACCCCCTTTATAGTGTGTTTGGAAGTGCGTTTATACTTGTTAAGCAATTGTAAAGCAATGATCTTCTGCAAACTACCATCGGTGCTGTTGTAGTTTATAAATAATGCGCAAATTTTCAACAAATGATGCTCTGAAAATGCTTTTTTTTTTTAATTTTATTTTTATAATTTTTATACATCGTTTTAAAACTAACAATCAAGAAATAATACGGCCGTTTGCGAGATGGGATTTTTATTAGTCTAATGTTATTTTTAAGGGCACCAAGTTAACTCTTATAAAAACGAATTTAGTTTGCTTTGATAGCTTGATATGCACACACATTCAATATAAAATTTGTGGTTAAAACTTAAAAGTCGATTAGATACATGTTTCAGTTATAAAAATCTAAAACAGGCTCCTTAGACATGAAGGAAAGATAAACCTTTCTTAAGAAATGCTCACTCCTTCAACTAGCGAAAGGCCACAAAACATCATTGTTAGTCTCTAGCAATGCCACGTTGAAAGTTTAGTTAACATGTCATATACTTTGGTGAAGGGACTAGAGGGGAATAAATCACAATAGTTGTAGCCAATTAGATTTCGAAATGACTGATGGGTACTTTTGTCCCTTGTCACAAAATAAGTTTTTGATTGCACTCATATGAGGTCTAAGCTTAATTCAATTCTGTGCTCCTACTCTTCTTTGTGGCGAGAGAGTCATAGCAAGTCTTTTTAAGCAAATGTATCTTTCCACTTACTATTTTGATGTATGAGTGATCATCCTTAGTTTAACAAGTATTGAAAACACGTGATGACAATGTAGTGACTAGCATAAAAAAGTAGACTATTCTGAAATTCAGCTGTTCAAGGAGAGCGATTCATGAACATGGGCACAGAATGCTGATGCAACCTTGCCTGCCATGCATTTTAATACTCCAATCCCTCCATTTTATAATGCGATTTGCTATTTCAAAAGCAATATACTTTGTTATTGGAAAAATTGAATGTATGATGGCCACATGGAGGGTACTTATCATTAGTTTCATTTTTGCTACAAGTGATTAGTAGGTTTTGTTCACTAGTTATTAAAGGTGGTGTTTGGTTTATTTCCTGTTTGTTTTTATGGGCCATTTATTATTATTATTATTAACAACAGGATGTACTACTTTTTACTTTATTAACTTTAAACTTTAAAGAGAAAATAGTGATAATAATAATAAAACCTTATTTTTATCATTTTCTTCTATATATCTTGAATATGGTTTTTCATCTTAGACCAATGAACACACATATTCAATACATAACTAATTAGCAGACCAAAGTATTATATTTTAAAGGTAAAATAGTACTTTCAATAGTTACTTCATATTCAAATTAAGGATAGAACATAGATCTTCTATTAAATAACACAAGTGTAAAACTATTTGTGTACACAAATACATATAAATCATGTTAGTTCATAAATTAATAATGAAGTTAAAATTTTAATGATCCAAATCTTATGTTTGTTTTGTTTATGACTTGTGCATGCTAATAATCCTTATTTAAAATGCTAAAAGAAATCCTGCACTTCCAGGGCGGTGAAGAGTATCATGATAGAAAAGAGCAACTTGCAAAAGGGAAAAATGAGTGAGAGAAAAGCATATACGCATAATGCAACCGAATTAAAGACTTAATAATAAATAGGAACATTATTTGGAAGAATATTTATGTTGTGTCTTGGTTTAACCATTCAAATAACATATTCAACCAATAATATAAATTTGTGACAGAAAAAATGTCTTTTGTAATGTTGGAACACTCTGTATGGTCCATAATTGTGGTGAACAATAGTATTTAAAAAGGAAGAGAAGCACCTAAAACATGATATGGTCATTGAAGAAAAGCGTCTTCTATACATTCACAAAGTAGAGGAAACAAAAGATGATCAATTAATGGAGCTGAATGGAGAAACCGTAAAGCATAATAAACAGGCAAGCTAAATCAAAAGCACATGGTACTGAACATTATGGCCACATAATAGACCCTAAAAAGGAATCGAATCAATGAGAGAAAAAATGAATCATTAATTTTGCCATCAAACCGGTTTGTATTTTCGGATTTATGGTATGCTTATTCTTTTCTATATTTTAATGTGTGACAGTTTAACCTTTTGGTTTAGGCCAACCAAGGAAGTACACAGTGTTACCCACCAAAGAGCATTGGTGCAGAGAATCAAATGCTAAAAGATGTGTTAATCAATGAGGAAAAGACAAAAAGCATAACTTTGGATTAACTTAGCAGAGAGATATGTTTCGATATAAATATACATACACCCGACAAAGAAACATGTAACAATTGTTTCCGCTCTCTCCATGCTCTACATCATGATTAGGGTTAGTTAATTGTTTTATTACTTTAATCAACGCTTTGGATTTTACTTACTGTGTATGTTTAATATTTATTCTTTTCATGAAGAATAGAGTGATTCCGAATCTAATCAACATGAATATCTCTATACTTGCATCTTTTGCTTATTTAATCTTTTTGGGACTTCCATTTTTCATGTTAGTTGTTAAATGGTCATGACATAATCAAATAATTATGTTGCTTATTATTATTATTATTATTATTATTATTATTATTATTATTATTATTATTATTATGGGTATTAGAGTAATGAAAATGGTTCGTGTTTACTAATCGTGGTGTGGATTGGTCGTTATCATGCCGCTAGTTTCTCACGGTATATAATGCTTCCATTATTTACTTTTTCTAACACCGTTCCGTTATTTTTTTTCTTCTATCGTTCAACTCTTTTCGTATTTCGTGTCACAAATAGTAGTTGATGGGAAGAGATTCTCTCAGGTGGTGAAAAAATAAAATAAAATATTTAAATATTAAATTTTTATTCTTAAATTTTTAAATTCTTAATTTATAATAAAAATAAACTATATTTGATATTTATTTGAATAGTTGAGATGTCATCTAGTAAAAATGTCATTGGAGAATTTTCATTCATGGAATTGATTTATGCTTAGAAATTGTGCTGGTTTGAGCAAACTATATTTTAATAAGAAGTTAGGTATGGTAGAGACAGAATATATATTTTTTTGGTCCAGAGAAATAGAGTACATTTGTATTGACTTACATATTCAATATATATATAAAAAAAAAACGTTGACCGTGAAAGTTAGTTAACAATATTTAATTGTATTAATTTTATTTAAAAATATTATTTTGTAAAAATATCATTTATTAAAATTTGATACCGATAAAAAATTATTAAAATATAACTTCAATTAAATGAGTAATATTTTGAATATGATATAATTAAATAAGATAAGATTAATTTAAATTTATTTATATTTGAGACAAATAAACATGAGATTTTGTATAATTTTAAATGTATATATTATATCTATTTTGATGTATCATCTAATTTTACTACATTTATGAGGTAAAAATGGACATTAAAAATGTAATTTAGTATAAATATTGCTAAATATAAAATATCACATCATTTTAGCTAAAGTCAAATCATTATTAACATTGTAATTTTAATACTCAATAAATAAACATTTAATAATATGACCAAAATTGCAAACTTAAAATTAAGAGACAAAAATTGCAAATTAGATAGGGACCAAAAGTGTAATTTAATACAATTTTTCTAAACATGTTTAATGTAAAATGGACTTTGAATTTAACATAATGTTTTAAATAAAGACAAGTGTTATCGTGGATCAACTTAACATGTGGTCTATGATCCATCATTTATTATATCTATTAGATTTATTTTATCACAAAGTTATGTAATACATCCACCACACTAGATAATTGACACTATCTACACCATTTGTATACAGTCTCAAAAGACGAACACGATCCACCATGTTGCCTATTCTGTCACATCATCAAAGAATTGCACTTTCATGTTTGCTTGAACTCTTTTTCGTTTTTTTTTTCATTATCGAGTTGGAGTAAACTTCATCCTCGACTTCTCAATCTTCGTCACCATCTCCTAAATCCTAAATTCTAAACCCTCAATCTTCGTGACCATCTCTTCTATTCTTGTGTTGTTAGGCGTAGATTACAATCCCTATGATTTACTCACAATTTTCATTACCATCATTGTCGATGACGACCCCACGTCACAACAAAGTGACTCTTTGTTGAAAATATTCCCTTTTCATACACATGATTCTAAGTTCTACTATCAGACAATGTAGGAGCTGAGTTTAGAATAGAGTGGCATGTTATGTATGGTGTTGTCAAGAAAGGTAACACCAATGTTGAGAATATCAAGTGGATGATCGAAGGTTAGAAAATCTAAATGCCATGAAACAAAGCTTCAATTTTTAGATCAAAGTGAGGAGGTTGCTATGAGGATGTTGATATGTGAACAAGGACATCATAGAGGTTGGAGGAGGAAGATAGAGCAATTTTGAAAAAAGAAAAAAAATTCAAGTATATAAGGTGCATGATGAAAAGATGAGAAAGAGATAATTTTCGTATATATAATAAATGGTGCACCATAGATCACATGTAAAGTTGACAATCTTCCTCGAGTTGGATTGAATCAATATGAGTAGTAAAACTCACCCTTGAATATTTAAAAGAAATGCATATTTAGAGTATCTTTAAAGGAAGAATTCATTTTGGATTCTAAATACACTTTTTATGGGTCTCTCAATGCCATGCACATTTAAAATTCTTTTCTATTCTTTTACTCAAAGAACTTGGTTCTTGTAGAAAACTTTGTTCTACACATAGAAACTAATCACCACACACTTCAATGATATATATATATATGAGGATGATCCGTTTACTTCATGAATAAGTCTACCTAGATTTATTCCGTTCAATGTATAAAATAATTTTATGATTATCCGTCAATTCGAATTAATGAAATGAAGTATCAAATGATTTTTAAATTTGTAGATTTGATCAATGTATTAAGAACTTTAAATTCAACGATTAGATCGTTAAAATTTGATGTAAAACATGAGTTATTGAATGAAATAAGTCTAAGTAAACTTATTTCTTGAGTAAACGGATTCCTCCTCTCTTTCTATATAAATTTAAAATTCTTATTAAATAAATTATGTTTACAAATT